AGGAATCTCATATGAAATGTTCTGTCGGGTTTCAGCAGCAACGAGGGAACAAAAAACAAACTGGATTCAGTCGAGAAAGACACGAAACTACCTGGAAATAGGAAGGTTTAGGAGGTACGGTCGAGAGTTTTGGCTCAAAAATGTCATCGTGTGAGTAGACGTACAGAGAAAAGGTCGACCAACATGTCAATATGAACATATAGGACAGCAGAAGATGGTGAATACATTCAGTATTTTGTGGCCAAGCAGCCGCTCAGCCGTAACCTGCAGCTGAGACCTTTTGCTTTTCTATTCATCACCGTTCATCGTCTGTTTGCTGGTAAAGGCGACACACACATCGCTGCTGTCACTCCTTCAAAATCCTGTTTTTTTGCTGTGTTGGTCCCCAGAAAGCAAAGTTTGGACTAAAAAAACACAAATACAACTCAAACACAAGCGATTATGAAAATGAACACCTGTCAGCAATCACCCAGGTTTTTTTTTTTTTTAGAATAAAAGCCAAACCGACTCGTGACACGACAGAACCCGAACCACAGCCGCCGCCATTCAAAGGCATCGAAAACTAAATTTTAAACCCCACAAAGCTCTCGGTTCACTTTCCCGGCCAACAAAGTGGCCGCGAATTTATTCCTGCATTTCACAGGCGGCGGGTCCTCGGCTCGGCGCCGCTTCGCTCTTGATGTAAAAACGGGAGGCGAAGGCAGGATTTAGTCACATCACAGAGGTGGAAACAGAGACGGCGGCAGCAGAGAGAGGCTCAGAGAGACGCCGACATGAAGCTACGCAAAGATCCAACACCTGGACGGAGCTACACCTGGACGGAGCTACACCTGGACGGAGATACACCTGAACGCTCGGTCGGACGCTCCTGAGTCACAGGAAGCCGGCCGCGAGGTTGAAAAGCTCAAAAACGTCACAGAAAATGCTGCTGGTTTTGTTCGAACACGGAAAAACCTGAGCCGACTTGTGCTTAAACAAGTCGGATGTAAAGCTAGCTCGTGTCCTGTGACGGTAAATAAGAACCAAACTTTGGTTCAAGATTTCCTCAAGAGCGGTTCAGTCAAAATCAACCTTTAATCAGAATAAAAGAACCGTATATTATACGATTCGATGTAGTTTAACTTGAGAAACGTTTAGGAATTCGCTTTTATCACCAGAATTTCATCCATTTGCTCCGCTAACTTTTTTAAATGTTTGTTGTTTGCTTGGCGACGGACACGAATGCACTTTAACCTGTTGGTGGGTAAATGTTCTAAACGTTCATCTTGAGGAACCTTTTGCAGACTGAACAAATTTCGTACGAATAAACTAAAGTTTTCTAGTTTGAATCGCAAACCTTCTGACTTCGCCGTGATTTACTGAATCATTTTCTAAAGCGATGAGCCTCTAATGATGCGACTGGGAAAACTTCTCCCATTTAGTGGTCACTCTGAGCTCATTTATTCTGTTTTTACAAGAGACTTTAGTCATTATGACGGCCTGCGACCCTCAGAACCAACGTGTTCCATTAAAACCGCTAATTTGGGGTTTGTTGTAACGAGAAACTTCCAGTTAAAATGTAGGAAAACGTCAAAAAAACAAACCAAAAAACAGGCTGAGGCTCCTCGGACGCTTCCAGAAACAACAAAGTCCTGTTTTTTTTAGAACGTGAGAAGTTTTTTGTTAAAAAACTACATCTGAAAATGTCGTAGAGCTAAAAACGTACCACAGTGACGATTAAGAGCTGAGAAATGTGGCAAAAAGACACAAACTACTAAACTACAACAGCAAATACGTCCTAAATACAGTAGAGTTCATGATCTCTGAGTCTGATTTATGCAGGTAGACGAATTGTCCAAATGTTCAAAGTATAAAACATCCAATCTTCAGATCCAGTTGGAGGTAAACATGGAAGCACCAAAGGAAGACGTTTGAACGTGAGCTACTGTCTACAACTCCCAGCCAACATTTAAATGTTTTCCTGCTTTTTTGCCCTGTTCGGGGTAAATCTCCCGACATTTAACTGGTTCAAGCTGCTGGTTCGTGTTTGTTTTGGTGCAAAAAAAATTGGTGTTTGTGCAGGATTTACTGGGTCAACAACTACCTAGAACCTCCAGTCCTACACTGTGCCATATGGAAAATCTGTGCAGGAAGCTGGAAACAGTCTCTATGATGGATTCATTTAGTCCTCGTAGGTTCCAGATCGTCTCCAAGTCAAGTTTTATCAATGTACTTATGAATATTTATTTAAAAAAACAAAAAACACTCGATTTGTTTCACTGCAAGATCTAAAGAACTTCCTTCGGATTTGGAAAAATCAACTTGAAACCACCAACGAAACCACCATCTTGCACCAAAGTTAGTCCTTTTTTTCTTTTGTTGTCTCAGCAAACAAAAGAACAAAAAAATGTCTCTATCAAGGCGACAAACTGAGTTAAAGCCAAAACAGACGAAGCAGTTTAAAGGTTAAACTATGACTTCCAGTGCACCCTGAGAAGAAACTGAATAAAGATTTTGAATAAAGAACAACTACCAGAGTATCACAGATGTTCCACACAAGAATAAATGGACTTTCCAGCCTTGAAATGGTGAATTCATATTTAAATAGGTGCAGATTGTTGGACGCTGCATCTCCTCCTTGACATCAACCTGTCACTTCCTGCTTTTCCCTTTTTTTTCCAAATAACTGTCTTTCCTCTCCTGGTTTCCCGTCTTTCCTCCCCCTCGCCTCCCTCCTGACTCCCCCGGCTGGTGGAGGCGGCGGAAAGAAGGGCAGGAAGCGAGGACAAAGCGGGCCAAGGCCACAGAAAGACGGACTCCCGCCGAGCCAAAGAGGCGGCCGACAGACCCAACATTCAGCCGGCGTTAACTGGCCTTTAATGAGGTCAGCATCGGGGAGAAAGAGTCTCCACATGTGCAACACCTCGCAGGGAAAACCTGAAATAAATCTAATGAGGCCGGAGCTTTAATCGTCAACCTGAGCGACGGGACAGACCAAAGATTAACAACAGAACAACGGTAAAATTGATCAAAAAGCAGCGAAGGAGTCAAACCAAATAGGAAACAGCTGCTTGTGATTCAAACCGATCAGATACCGATTAATCTGATCACATATTTACTGTCGGATTTCACAGGAAGCACCAGAACAACCTTCAGAGATCTAAAACAAAAGATTCAAAGCAGCAAATCCCGCGAGAAGTTTGGTGAATTACATCGATGTTCAGACTTGTCGGGATCCACGTTCTGTCGGTTGACGGATGAACGTTCCCGCTTCGCCTCCTTTTCCCGACTGAACTAAAGCCGAGTTTAATCCTCCGACCAGCAGCCGAGTGCGGAGGCCTTCCAACACGCCGAGGAACGCGACTCGCTGGATGAACTCATTAATCAGGACTTGAACGTGGATTACAGCGCTTCCCCTCCACGTCCAGAAAAGTTGTGTTTTGTGTTGAATTATTTCTCTCAACAAAAAGCCGTCTGGGTCCGGTTCAGGTCCGACAGTCGACACCTTCGCTTCCATGAATTCACAAAACCAGGCGACTTTGGCTTTTACATTTTCTACGACTTTGTGTTTCCTTTAGAAACTTTCAAACCCGCTGAAAATAAATAAAAACCCAGCTCCATCCAGCAGGTTCACCGCTCAGAGGTTCAGCCCAAAATGCAGAAATTAAACCCATAAATCAATCAATAAACGAGAAACTAATCAGTCCCGACAAAAACCTGCCCACGTGCACCGTTTCTGTGCCTTTACGGTGATATGTTCCTCTCAAAAACCAGCTTTTTGCAATTATTTCTGCTGTGAAACACATCAAGCTGCTCCAAAATCAACGTTATTTCTACATTTCTTTACATTTTCGACTCTTCCAGCTGATTCCCACGAAACAAGAAGCTGACAGTCGACATCGACAGCTCGCCTCCTTTTAAACCTGATAAAACTCAAGATTTACTGGTGAGAGTTTCATTGATTGGAGATAAATTAATCAATCAAATGACAAAACCTGCTTATATTCGCTGTTGGTATCTGTTTATATGGATCAGTTCTTTAAAAAAATAAAAGCTTCCAGATGCAAGTTTGCATTTATTTCTGCCATAAAACACATCAAACTGCTCCACAATCCACATTTCTATCTTATTTGTGCATTTATTTACATTTTCTCGACATCTTTTCAAAACATGAAACTCTTCCTTAAAACAAGAACCGACAACAACAACAAAATAATCCATCAGCATCGTCTTCATCTCCATCAATCCACGAAACTTTGGTGCTTTTACATTTTTCTTTTAGAACTTCTGTCTTTTTGCTTTTTTAAACAAAAACCCTCCAGATCTATTGAGTTTAATTGATCGGTGCAAAATGAATCAATAAAAGCAATTCAGACCCAACCTGCCCACAGATCGTCTCACTGTGAGCTTATGTGGATATTTTCCTTTTTAAACATCTCGTTCTGCTGCAAACACATCAAACTGCCCCAAAATCCAACATCTCCGTCGTCTGATTTCTTTACATTTTCAGGATATAGTTTCAAAACAAGAATCGACAACCAAAAATAATCCAACAGCATCATCTTCATCTGCACAAATCCACAAAACCTCTGTATTTCTTTTAGAAGTTTTGTCTTTTTGCTTTTCAAACCCTCCACATTTACTGTTCAGAGTTTCATCGACTGGCACAAATCCAAGATAATAAATTAATCAATGCGTCTGTATCGATATTTTAAAGCGAGACCACTTTACATCTATTTCTGCTCCAAACACATCAAACTGCCCCAAAACTCAGCATTTCCATCATCACTTCTTTACATTGTCCTTTTCATAAATCACAAAACTCTTGGCAGCAAAACCAAAACCCGACAACGTAAAAAGCATCACGTTGTTCATCGGCACAAAGTCACGAAACCCGTCGACGTCTTTCCACCGAGACAGCTCCCGAGACAGCAGCCTTTATTCTGCTGCTCACACACTCGGAGATAATAAATAACAATCAGAATAAAAAAGAAATAAATAAAAGGCATACGATCACTTACCGAGGACGGCAAGCCGGGAGGGACCTTCCGCACTTTTTTTGTGTGAATTTCTGAAAGAGAGAAAAAGAAACGCACAATAAAACAAACACACGAGGCCGAGAGGCTTTTTTTATTTATTATTTATTAGTCTTTTTATTTACAAAAAAAAAAAAAAAAAAAAGGCAGCTTCTTGTTATGTTTGAATTTAATCAATCGGAGGCGACGGCGAGGCCACGTTTCCCACCGCCGTCGATATATTTACAAAGAGAGCTTTCACCGCAAACAAGCGCGACACAATAAGACGCAGGAAATAAAAAGGCAGCAAACAAAAAAGAAAAAAAACAGGGTCGACTTTTCTTTTTTTTTTTTCCCGTATAAAGGGAAGCGGGGCGGCTTTTGACATGTTTATATTATTTTTCAGGGTTTCTTTCAAGGGGAGCAGCGAGCAGTCTATTAACTTGGAAGGTGAGACTTTGATGGAAAAATGAAAGAGCGTCTTTTTTTTTTTGGAAATTGGCCCGGACGACGCCGACGACTATTTCTTCTTCTGCTTGTTGTGTGTGTTTGTGTCCTCTCAAGGCCGGCGCTACCAAGGCTGCACCGCGGCCACCATTGTCCTGCTTCTCTTTTTTTTTTTTGCCCCGTGTTTTCTTTTCTTAAACACCTCTTTGACAGATGAGGACGGTCACGAAATTCAGACCGGGTTAAAAACACCACTCCACACGGCTCACGAAATGTCAGCATCCTGCTTTATAGGTTTGCACTTTTCAGCCTAATAGTGAAAATATTAAGATTATAAATGCAGTTTAACACAAGAAATTAAAGATTCAAGCCTGAAAAACCTGAAGGATTTCATAAATCTTTTAACTACTGATGTGAACATTAAAGCGGTTAATTCTCATGTTTGATTGTCACGCACAAAAAGAAAGAAAAGGATTTGACAAAGAAGAAGAAATGCAGTTTGTATTGTTTCAGGTGCGTCAGAACAATGGATGTGTTATTGTTCTTAAAGAATGACACATAAAGATGTCAAAAAATAAATTAAAAAACACAAACAAATGCGAAACCAATTCAACCTGAGACAAAACAACCACAAAGATGTACGAACAAAGAGCCGAAAAATCTCAATAAAGACCGAAACATGACCAGAAAAGACACGTAAAGGTGGGAAACTATAGCAGAAGACAACGTTTTATATTTGTTAAAAGACAAATGAGTCACATTTAATTCATACGAATTAACTTTAATTCATTTTCTCCTAAAATAACGTGATGTAAACGTCAGTGTTACACGATTTACTTTAAAAATTCAAGTTCCAAACATTCAGACTGTTAACAAACTGACTTTGGAGCTAAAACAACAAAACGTTCATGTTTTCATTCTTAACAGCTAAATTCTGGTTTAATCTCTCGTTAAAAAAAAAAAAAAAAACAGGTTCCCAATCAGTTCCTATTGGTCGACGGTAAAACCCTTCTGCTTTCTAATTGGCTGCCGGGTTTCGCCCAACAATGGCGCTCGTCTGAAGCCACGTTAACCCGTTAGCCGACCTCAGCGCGGCGCCGTTTAAGATTCTGTAGCCGACTAAGAACCCAAAGCTTCGCTGTTTAAACACTTTAACCCGCTTTGAGGCGACACGGGGGCAGTTTTCTGGCGTCCGTGAAGCAAAAGAATCCGACCAGACTTTTAGTCCGTTTTAGCGGGAAAAGAAATTTAAAAAAAAATAGGGGGTGAATGTTAAAGGGGTAACCACGGCAACAGCGAGCTGCCACCGACCTGACCGGGGGTTAAAGTGAACAAACGGAGCCCACGTGGACTCACTTGGCACGACGCTTTAAATGCCTTTTAGAATAATTATTACATATTATGTTGTTGTTTGGTTGTTTTAAAGGCTGCTGCAGGATTTAGCTGTGAACCAGCAGCTGGATGTGATTTTATTATATTTCTCTTTTCGAGGAAACTAAAAAAAAAAGCGTTTTAACGTCCAAGGCGGATGTTGTGTGTGTTTGGTGTGTGTTTGCTCACCCATCGTGTCCATGGGCAGCGCTCTCCTCCTGGGGTTGGAGCCGTAGTGCTGGTAGTACTGACCCGACGGCTTGGTGGGCGACGCCGCGCCGGGACTCCCCAAACCCAACTCGCCGCCCAGAATCGACTGACGGACGCCGAGACAGACACACAGAGAGAGAGAGAAAGCGTCAATACGAGTGGCGATCAATCAATCAATCATGTGATCCTGTGGAGACGTGAGAACGTGGAGGAGACGCCAACACAAAGACAAAAGCCGTCACAGATGTTTGAGAAAGAACGCTTTTATAAAAGAAAAGTAGCAGAGTGGAAACAGGAAACTGTAAAAACAAACCAAATATGTAGTTTTCTTTTGCTTTTGAAAGCCTTAATAATGTCTTAAAACAGCAGCAAACGAGAAAAATCATCTGAGAAAGTGTCAAAATGTTGGAGAAAATCAGAATAACCAGATGATTTTATACCATTTTACAAAATTATACATACACATGTGGAATCATCTGACATATTCATAGTAGTTAGATGTCAGCAGTCGAATTGCTAAAGAATAATATTACACTATTGATCACTGATAGATGCCAAAATGTTGAGCAAAAACTCAACTTTTCACAACAAGAGCAATAAGAAAAATGGAGCTAATTGCAAAAATAATGAATGAAACTCGTGTCAAAAACAGAGAATAACCAGAACTATCTATGAGATCTGTTTGATTTTTTAACACAAACTGATGTCAGAATGTTTTATAGTCGATATCTGAACATTATCTGAGGAGAATCAGCAGCAGAGGGGACAGAGGGTTCAAAAATGCAGTCGAAATAATACAAATACACAATAAACATGACAAAAATGAGGCGCTGTTGATGCCGTACAGGTTCCTCAATATGTGGGACTTTAGATGGATGTGGAAAATATTGATATTGCAGATATTTAAATATTAAAAAACAATGATATTTGCACAGATAGGTGACGACGTCTAAATGTTGAAGGATCCTGAAATGTGGTTATTAGTGTTTCCAGAAGCATGTAAGACGCTGTGGAGTCAGAACCGGAACCCTTCAGCCCCAAACTCAGCAGCTGACGCCAGAATCAACATCTTTCTGGATTAAAGCAACTTGTGAAGCACACTCAGTCTCTTTATCTTCACCACGATGGCTGGGAGACTCGACAACGACTCGGTGGCACCGACGCTCTGAACTCGCTCTAAAAAAAAAAAAAAAAACTCGAGCCCGATGATGCCTCAGACATCCGAAGCACAACGATCCGTCTCGGCGGCACCAGGCGGCCTCGACGTGCCAAAATTCATTCTAAAAATACATCGAGACGGAAAGACACGAGGACGACCGGGATCCGGTCGGTAACAGCTGGAGGGCTCGAGGAAGCTCCAACGGTGTAAAACTGGGATGATTCTGATGGTTTAAATACAAAGAACGGTTCAGAAATGTGGACCTCAGCTACACGTGGACAGTCTGGAGTCTGCAGCTGAACAGAGTCGAGCCACGTGGTGGAAGTCTCAACAATTCTTCATTTACTGACTTTATTTTGTGTCTGAATCAAGTTAATTTCAAACTGCACCTCCGATGTTTAGGAAAAGGTTAAATAATGACCAAACCAATGAAAGATGGAGGCTTTAAGAAAGTCAAATTCAGCAGCAAGTAATATGAGTTAGTGCAGGAAGCAAGTTTCATAGTTTATATATTAATAGATTGACAGATATGGAGGTTAACATCTGCCAATATTAAAATAAAAATGATTTAAATGATTAAAAATGTCATATATTATATAAAACTAAAATTAAGACTCCACTGACAAATACATTTTAATCTCCATCGATGTTTCTCTCCGCAACAAATTGAACCTTTAATATATTTATAACACAAACAAAGATGGACGCCTCGTGTCCACTAAAGTCTATCGTTTAAGCAAAATTTTGTTCCTATTTGTTCACCCATGTGTGCACCTGCGCTGCATTACTACCTTAAATAGCAAGTAATACTAGTCAGTTAATTCAGGAAGTAAGTTAAAGTACTGGTGTGTGTATTAATGGACTGACAGATATGGAAGTTCATGTCTGTCAGTACAAAACTAAAATGATTGAATTCAATTAAAACATCATATTTTATGCATATATTATACAAAACTTTAATTTCGCTCATATTTTTGTTTGCATCCGCAAAGTACTACTACCTTAGAAAACAAGTTATACGACTTAATTAGTGTCGGAAGCAAGTTAAAGTACTAGTGTGTATATAAATGGATTGACAGATATGGAATTTCATGTCTGTCGATATTAAAATAAAATGATTTAATTGAATAAAAAGGTCATATTTATTTTATAAAACCCAAATTTAGCTCATGCATTTAGCAAAGTACTACTACCTTAAAAAAGAAGTAATACTAGTCAGTGTAGGAAGCAAGTTAAAGTACTGGTGTGTATGTTTTTGGATTGACAGATATGGAATTTCATGTCTGTCAGTATAAAACTAAAATGATTTAATTCAATAAAAATGTCATATTTTATACATATATTCTATAAAACTCTAATTTAGCTCAAATCTTTTTTATGCATGTGTGCATTTGTAAGGTATTACTACCTTAACAAACAAGTAATACTAGTTCGTTAGTGTAGGAAGTAAGTTAAAGTACTAGTGTGTGTATTAATGGATTGACAGATATGGAAGTTCATGTCTGCCAATATTAAAATAAAATGATTTAATCTCATAATTTATGCAAATGAAACTAAACTGACATTGATTTAGTCCAGATAGAAGTCTGTCTATCTACAGGAACTGAGACTCAAAGTTCAAACCCAGACGGTTAATCAGCTCAGTAAGGATCTGCCCTTTGGATCAGCCTACCTCCGACACCTCAAACCGAGCCGACGACGACGGTTTTGTGACGGTATTTACCTCCATGAGGTCGACCTCATGCTGCTCGCCGCTCAGACGTTCGCCTCCGAGTCGAGCTTCTCCTCTCGGGCCCGAAAACGTTTTCACCTCCTCCTCCGCCGCCGCCGACTCTGTGTTTACGGCTCAAACTTAGCAAACCGCTCACACATTGTCCCGCTAATTAAGTTCAATGATTTCGGCAGCAACAAGTGGCGTCTGGGGCCGACGGGGAGAGGAGAGAGACTCCACGACAAAAGGGGAGGACGGAGGAGAGAGGGCCTTTCTTTTCTTTTCTTTTCTTTTTTTTGAAAAGTTGCACAAAAAGTTAGCGAGGAGGAAAGAGGTGAAAAAGAAACCTGCTGCACCCTCCCCCACCGCCTTTAAATAGACTCCACCGTTACTCCGTTAAATTTTTTTTCTCTCCCAGCTTTCTCGTTAAGTAATTAGTGTGCAGTGTATTTAAAGCAGAGGGTGGAGGAGTGTGTTTGGACTGGGGGGGAGGTGGTGGTGGTGTTTTTGGGCCCTAATCTGAATTCTGATCAGCGAGCCTCGTTCCTCTCCGCGGCTGAAAACAAGAGTTAGCTTGGCGCTGCCGGGCCAAGGAAGGCTTTTCTCATGCTAAGCAGGGCCTAAGTAGGCCAATTACAGGGCCAGCCTCGGTCTCAGAGCCATTCTCCGGCTTAAAACAAAAGGGCCCTTGTCTTAAATAAAGTCAGTGGCGCACAGAGGAGGGAGAGGGAGTCAGACACAAAGGCACACAGTCACCCAGCCACCCAGTCACCCCGCCGTCCCGTCCGTCCGTCCGTCCGTCCGTCCTTCAGTGTGAGCGCGTCGTCGGGGGGTAAAAGGAGGTTCCCACTAAAACAAAAAAGGGCTCTCATTGATTGTGGCTCTTTCTTTTCTGTTCCCCCCGTTTTTTGTTTTTTTTTTCTTTCTCGAGCATCGAGCCGGGCCTGGACGGTCGCCCCGGCAACCGGACAAGCTGGAGGAGACGGAAAATGCTTGTCTGTCTGTGTATCTATATATATATACATATATATATCTACAGTCGTCCTTTAAAGAAAAGGCAAAATTCACAAAAGTCACTCAAACAACTAGAAACTGGAAAAAGTAATAATAAATAAAAATTTGCTAAATTATAATTGAGTGAAATAAGACGTTGCTTTTGAATTGTGGCTGAGAAGAATAATTTAAAAAAATCAAAAACAAACTTGTCACGGACCAATTAGGGCACTTTGCTGATGGAAATCAGAACACCTGTCAACAGGTGCAGAAGTCTGACTGAGAGTTACAGAAAACACCTGATTGGCTCAAAGGGTTGTTCAACTAAATATTAGTTTACGGGTCCAAACATGCTTGTTTTTTTAATTTTTAAATATTTCTGTTGAACCACAATTCAAAAGCAACGTCATGATGTTTATTACATTTTTATTTATGATTACTTTTGTCAACAGCTGTTTGTTTCCGTTTTTAATGGGAGGGTAGGAATAAATCTGAGGACGACTGTTGTACATATATATACAGACGGCAGCTAAACTCGTATCTGAATGTGGTTTAAAGTCGCACCAGCGTTCTCTACATTTCAACACAAGTCGGATGTGACTTCAGCAACGACATTCATCCATAGATATCACTAAACAACAACCAGGATCCTCTC